ACCCCTTTCGTGACACTCACAGGTGCCTTCAGACGCTTGCCCTGCATCCTCCACCACATGCCTTTTCAATTCCCAGCCCAATCCATCTTTCTTCTCTACTGGGGTTTTTCTGGACCAAATTGGTAACTGTGCTGATTTTTCCTCTATAAGGTCACGTCCTTCAGCTAGATCAGCATGGCTCAGCAACCCACTCGATGTGGCCAGCACTCACTAGGCGTCAGCTCTGGGCCAGGCCCTGTGCTACAAGCACAGACGCTGCCTTAGTTTTGGATAAATTCATGGTCTGGGGGGAAACTAACCCCCAGACACTCTCTGTTCTTGGTTGGAGAGTTTCTAAACAAAGGATTTCACAAGATTTGTAAAGGGGGGATGAGGGCGGGCTGAGACGGGTACTCCAGGCATAAAGAATAGCACGTGCAAACCCTTCCTCAGCCCCGAGTAATGCATCGCTCCAGCGGGCTCAGGCTGTCTCTGAACCAGCCGCATCAGCAACACCTGGGAGCCTGTTACAAACGCAAACTCTTGGGTCCCACCTCAGTCCCACAGAATCAGAGGCTCTGGGGGGTGGGACCCAGCACCGAGTTTAACGAGCCCTCCAGGGGATTCTGGAGCATGCTAAGGTTTGAGAAGCACTTCTCTCAAATACCAGCATCTTTTTGTTATTCTTTCTTAGAAAATGATCATCCTAAAAGGGAAGCCACCAGACTGAAACTCCCCTGCAAGATTTCTTTCCTTCTTCTTCAGAAGTAACACCATCCCCACCTTTTCTTCTGCCTCCTTTGCTCCCAACTACTCCCTTGCTCTCTACTGATTTGCCACCAATGCGGAAAGAAAGCACCCAGTACTATCAAAGATTGCTGGCGATTTATCTGCCAGTTTAGTGACTTTTCCACAGTTTACTTTTGCCTCATTGATGAGTGTGCTATTCTTAAAATTCTTTTCTCCCTAGCGTCTAGGGCCTATATTCTTGACTCCTGGTTCTTTTCTATTCTTTTTTCTAGGATATTTCTTTCTGTGTACACATGATAAAAAATTAAATAGTACAGTACATGATTAAAAATTCAGCACTCTTACTCCCTCGAGACACACTAAACTTTTCTCTTTTCAATTCAAAAGGAATAAGCCGAGTAACATGCTTATATGTCTATTTTGAAATTTATCATCTTCCTGATGTCTATCGACTCCCTATTTCAACAGGTGAAAATTGAGCTTGCCAAACTCTTCCACTTCAGTTTTATATTATTTTTAAGTTCTACTTGTTTCCTGTGTTTCTTTAAATATACTTAACCTCTGTAGTTCTAACAATTTCCAACTATCTCTTTTCTTTTTACTTCAACTTTAAAGATTTAATTCTCTATATTTTTCTTTCCATTAATACACCGAAAACCCCCATGCTACTAATATTTTATGCCTCATGATGTTTGGTTGTATTGGTCTTATTATTATGACTTGTACTATCTATATAAGTGTTATTCATACTGAGCCAAATACTATACTATAATTACATTTCCTTTTTTTGGTACAAGTTTATATTCCCCAAGGTTAATAATGCTCTCCTTTTCATTTTTATATACTTATCATAATTCTGCCCCAAACTTTCCAGCTGATCTCAAACTTCCAACTCAGTCAACCACGTGAGACAATCTCTCTGTTCCTCTTTCTCCTCTTTAGTTCAGGTCTCTCCCTTGGAGCCCTCGTCTCCTCTGGCTCCAGTCTGGACAAGCAGATTTCTGTGCCTGCTGCACAGCTGGCCTGGGGCTTCATGCTCTTCAGCACTGGATCCACTGGCTGCCCACTTTCTCACTTTGTCTTTTGCTGGAGTACAGCCTAAAATAATTTTCTCAGAAACACATTACTGAAAAAAAAGTCAGGCGCCATTTGAATCTCTTGTTCTTTTGTAAAGTAGTTTATACTTTTCTCTTTAAAAGTTTTAGGCTGTATGTAGGTATTATCCTTGTGTTATTTATCTTGCTCACCGATTAATGGACCTTCAACTAAATTTATTTCATTGCTTTGTGATTTTTCTACTTTCGTTTTTGCACCTCCTGTTTGCTGGATATTGGATCTGCTGCGGTAATCCCGTCTTATTTTTCTCTTCCACTTTCAATCTAGCGTTCATAGGAGAAATCACCGTTTTCTGTATATTATCTTAAGAAGTACGACAAGTCTCCCTTTCTAACCAGCAGCTGGGCCCTCTTTGATTAGTTTTTTGTGCCCTGGAGGATGCCCTCGAAGGGCCTCCCAAACTGCGACCCTTAATTACTCCCCTGATTTCAGACTCTCTTCTCCTGCCCTCCATACTTGCTGCTGACTCCAAGCCTTTGTCCCTGGTCTGTCTCCACTGTTCTCATTCATTTACTCAACCAAGATCTATGAAGCGTAACGAGCCAGGTGATGGGGATGCCAACACGGGAAAGCCTCTGATGGCTCTTTACCTCCTCTGTTCCCAGCACTGAAGTCTCCCCGAGCACGGGCAGCACACTTCTGCTTGCTGGACATCTCCACCTGGATGTCTCAAACGACAAGGTTCTCTTCTCTCCCGACACACTCCCCCTGTATTCCCTGGTTCGGTTAATGCCACCTCAATCCTCCATTCTCCTACGCTCTAGGGTGATGGAAAATCTCCTAATCGACCCAGAACAAGTCCTACAAGTTCCTTTTGTGATAAAAATTCCTGATAGGTTCTTTTTATCTTTATGTTCTCAAAGAAAGACGTAAAAACAACAAAACTTTCTAGCAGAGTCTGGGTTACCTGATTTTGTCCAAAAAAGGTTTTATGGTAATTCCATAGACAAAAGAGCTGAACCAGGCAAACCAGCAAACTACAGAAGCATATATAATTGGGAACATTTAAACGACCTCAATAACCAAGTCAATCTCTATTAACTAATCTGTAGCTGGGAGTCAGAAGCCATCAGACTTATCGGGCAGAGATATCTACCTCCTTACTACACTTAGAGAGAGCAATTTTAACAGTGGAGAGAAACTTCCAGAAGTGTCGTCTCTTCCACTCTTTTCTCCTTCTCCACCCTGCAGTCTGCTGACCCAGACCTTAGTGTTCTCTGTGCCATATGCACTGGCCGACTGCCTTGCATGGTACACCGACACTAAGTCTTTTCCACATAACCAGGCAGCTATCTGACCTCCCCTACTGCTCGGCCAATGGACTGGCCCACCTGACAATAAAAATAATTACCTAGTGGCAAGGCGGGTGAGACAATTATACCGCTGGTTCTACTCCAGGCACACCGCGTTAATTAAAGCAAATACACTACACACCTGGAAGGCGTCTGACACAGGACACAGAGTCCCCTGGGTTTTGGTGGGACACATGTTCCACACCCACAGTGGTGTAGGTTACAACTGTCAAAACCCCAGAGGATTCTGTGGAGCTTCTAATAGCACGTGTTAGAAACAACACAAATTAACATGACTAACGCAAAAGAACAGTTTGAAACCAAATGTCATTTCCTTTGTAAAATACAGAAATAGGAAAAATAAGGAACTCCTTCAAAAGTATGTTAATTGTGGCAACTTGGCTGAGCGAAGTGTTAATTCTGCGTGGGAGAGCATGAGTTCGTTTTCATTTAAGGTACTTTATATTTAGTTAATATTACACCTTTACATTGTGTCCTCTCATTTCTTTCTGAGGAAGGTGGAACTGAACAAATTATATCAGTGTGTGGAAACAGCAATAATACCAGATTTTGCTAAGGGAAACACTTTTTTTCTTGACATCATTTGAAATAACTTCCCCCTAAAATTTTGTGCAACCAGCGGTCCAGGGCTCTGAGACAGAAGAGCTGCACCTGCAGGCCCCAGGGGTCAGCGCAGCGCGAGGGAAGAGCAAGCGCAGCAGAGAAAAAGGAAGGGCGGCAGGCTCCGGGGATGGAAGGCGAGGGACCAGGCAGCGGCCCCTGGGGGAGGACGGGGAGGCGGGGAGGCCCGCCCGGCGCCCGTCCACACGGTGTTCCAGTTTGAGTTCAACAGAAACTGGGGGACCCAAATCATTGAACAATACATTGCCTTTCACACAAACTCTCTGGAAACGACTGACAGAATTTTCATGATTCCCTCCACTTACGCTGAAGGCCACTCACGTATTAAACGTCTGTTGGGCACTTTGGACTGAGACCTTGACCTGTGAGTGCCAGGCACTGTGGACTGGTTCTCCAAATGTAATGGGATTTCAATTTGAACTTAGTATTTTAAGGCTTGAATGATCTGAGGTGCTGGCTGGCCCTCTGCTTAATAAGGTGCTAAATAGGGGGTTTTATTTTTTTACCTACAAGCCATTTTACTGCCTCTGCAGAAGTATGGTGATTATAATCGGACATTTTTGGGGAAACATTAACAAAACTCACTGCCAGGAGGCAGCCCCTCACTCACTGCACGGTTCCAGCCTCAGAGACACCTGAAGTGCTGAAATGTAAGGGGAGTAACGGACGGCACAGCTCGCTGTGACTTCCTGCCATCCTTCCCTGAGCCTCTGGACAACACTCCTGGGGACCACAGTGGATAAACAATTGTCTGCCTTAGTGGACGACTACTCTGTAGCGAGAATTTACCAGTGTTGGCAATCATTTATGCCACAGGAAAAAGAGCATTGTATTTTCCCCTTCTTTTAAAGGGGGTGGAAGAAACAGCACGTGGGCAGTTCAGTAACAGTTTTTGGGCATAAGAAAAGAAATCATTTCCTATTTCTTGGAAACTCTGATGTACAAAAGAATGCTGGAAGGTAAAAGCCTTGTTGATTTATCATGTGCAGCAAAGAGTAATTTTTCTCCCCTTGTTATGCTTTCATATAATCATGTTCACTGCCTGTATGGGTGGCATTAAAGAATTTCTGAATAAAAATAATAATTTCTTGCTTTCAACCTTCATAATTCACATCGGCAGGCGCCCTGCTGGGCGGTGGTGCATACTGCCAGCGACGCTCAATCTGTTCTGCACACCACTTATCTGCCTCGCACAGCTGCGTGTCCCATTGACCATGGTACCTGCAGGATAATGCGCCCGTAGGCGTTCTTCAGCAGATTGACCACGTCCGCGTGAGACAGCCCATCCAAAGGTTGCCCATTAATGCTGACAATCCGATCTCCAACCTGGAAGTACAAAAGTGGTAGAAAATCACTATCATTAAGAAAAATTAAATTTGAGAAGAATGCTTACAATTCTTTGTAAGTCATATTTCCCATTTGTGGCTATTATGAAGATTCTGTGTTTCTACTGTGTATGCATGTTCCAGAAGCATGAGGAATTTTTATGGCTTTCCCCAAATGCAGACCAATCAGAGTAACAAGAAGGGGGTCAGATTTGATTATGAAAAGGCACAGCAGGCCACTGCTGTATTTTGGAAATGGTGGTGGTTCATACATCCATCACCAGTAATAGTGGGGCGTACAAATTAACTGTTCAATAAAGCTCTGAGCAGGAAGCCAAAGATTTTCTGCTTTATTTCTCTACCCAAGTTAAGATTCAGGGGCAATGCAGAAAAAAAATCATAAGAATGTTGAATCTTTTGGTCGAAGGAAGATTCTAAGGTGAAACCTCTCAGTGAAAACGATTTTGGGTGGAACAGGGTGCTAAAAATACCACAGGGGGCTGTGCAAATGGGTGCCAATTTATCCTTCCACTGAGAAGCTCTGATATAAACAATATTTTTATATGCCCAGAGACGCAATGAATTTCAGACATAAGCTTTCTCCAATGCATTCTGCCCTCAGTGTGGGTCTCTCACGGCCACTGGAATTCAACTTTAAATGAGGCTCCCAGTGGCGGCAACTCCCTCCCACGCGGCCGAGCTGTGAGCACCTTGCCTTTCCCTCCTGTTTACCTTAAGCCTCTGTGTTCGCGCAGCCACACCGCTGGCCTGAATCATGGCGATGAATATGGGGACGTCCCCTAAGGGGCTTCCTCTTCCTCCAGCAATGCTGATTCCAAGGGCATCACTGGGCTCCTAAAAAAGAAGGGAACAGGACGCTCACATATTTAATAAAGAGCTACAACCCCGCTGTCCCCAGACGGCTGAGGAACAAAGCCAGCAGTGCTGCAGGAGGCCAGGGTGACGAGGAGCGAAGTACAGTCAGAGACTCCGGCCCTTGATCAGCTGGGGGTCTCAGGGAAGTTCCACCTCTAAGCATAACACGGCGGGGGCGGAGGGAATACAACACACACCCTCAGGACCGGCCTGAGGGTTAACTGAGATGATGCAGTGCAGTCCTGGCTGACAGAAAAGCTCGAGAAAAGGCAACTGTAGGAGTAAAAAAAACCCGAACCCTGTGCTGCCACTCAGTTTAGCGGCCAATTTTGAGGCAGACTTGGCAAGTCTGTTCTCATATGGTGTTGACGATTGCACTGCCACACAGATCACGCTCCTGTGGGTGTGAACAAACACGCCTGGCTCTGAGAGCCGCACGCCTGCGTGAGCAGACAGGATCTGGAGGACACAGGGGACAATAGGGCCTGGGGAGAGAAGGAAACGAGACAGATTTTCAGGGGAGGAACGTGGTTCACTCGGCCACGGTGAGGAGACTCCCACTCTGGTCCACGTCTTCCCACATTTATAGTGCACCATCAATGTTTTAAAAGCCACGAAAAGAGCAGATGACAACTTCCAGTTTCAGCGTGACAGCACACACACGCTACACACTTGTCTCCTGCCGATCCACACAAAGGACGCCCGTCAAAACGCAAAAACCACCACCCAAGGCTCCGGGAAAGTCAGGAAACTCAAACTGTGAAGAAAAAGGCCAGACTTGGAGAAGCAAGAGCAGGGGTGCGTGTCCCAGGTTTGTCCCGAGGGCGAGCCTGCGTGGGGCAGCTGCTCAGACGCGCACAAAAACTCGCCGGAACCAGGAGGGGGAGCCCCGGTGGCTGAGGATAAAGAGGAAACCAGAGCAGAGAGCCGGAGAAGGGGCTCCCCCAACGCGGGAGTGAACCACGGAACTCGTGGGCTCAGTGCTAAGCGGCACGTGGGCGCGCAGAGCCAAACCAGGGAACTGAGCTGAGGTTTGCACCACCGCCCACAACAGCTGAGGTGGACCGTGGGGTCTGAACCTGACTGGGTCAGCTGCCTGATAAAATATCAACATTCTTCAGTCTACACGGCATAACACTCACCAGGTCCAGGATAAAATCCTAAATTACTCCACATGCAAAGAACCAGGAAAATGCGACCAATTTTCTTCCTAAGTCCTTTCAAAGGTGCAGGACAGTTGCAGGCAAACACCAACCACTGCCTGGTGGGTTCTCAGTGTATGTGGATTAAGCGCACGGCAGCTGTGGCAGAACCGCATGATGGTCGCGGTGAAGGGACCTACATGGTTGCAAGGCTTCTGCAGTTGGAGTCGATCGCTTAAAAACACACACAGTTGAGTGTGCTTCAATGTAACCTCAATGAAGTTGGGAAAGGAAAAAGACCAAAATGACAACAAAAACCCTATGTGAAAGAGCTTTAAAAACTTGTGTCTATGGGGCAAGCCCGGTGGCGCAGCGGTTAAGTGTACATGTTCCGCTTCGGTGGCCCGGGGTTTGCTGGTTTGGATCCCGGGTGTGGACATGGCACCGCTCATCAAGCCATGCTGTGGCAGGCGTCCCACATATAAAGTAGAGGAAGATGGGCGTGGATGTTAGCTTAGGGCCAGTCTTCGTCAGCAAAAAAAGAGAGAAGGATTGGCAGCAGATGTTAGCTCAGGGCTAATCTTCCTCAAAAAAACGAAAAACAAAAACTTGTGTCACATAAGTGTGACAAGTTATTCATTATTATTAACATGATTACTAGTGTTGCCAGGTCATGCCTATAAGAGAGAAGGATGGCAGTGCTGACCTCACCAGTCACGGGTAGCTTGTGTCCTGTTTTCCAGAGTATTTGTGTCCAGCCTATATTCTCTGAATGCACCGACAGTGAAGCCCTGCGCAAAATGGCAAGATGTGTTTCACTGTGGAGTTCCTGCCTGGACCACGTGGAGAAGAACAGGGTGGGTAGCAGAGGCCTTTTTATAAACGCCTTTCAAAACAATTGGCTGAAATGACTAAGGAAACATAAAATATTATTTTATAAGCCTTGGAATGAGCAGAAACTTATGAAATAATTTGGCCTTGTTCAAATCCCTCCTGATGTTCCCCTCGCTCACCCCTAACTACGTGCACATTGGTGCACTGGACCTCCCCATCACGGGGGCATCCGGGTCGCCACCCTGGTGGAAAGACACTGGGAAGAAACGAGGCAGCGTTGGCCAGAGCTGTGGCCAGGAACAACGATGCCACTTCCGGGCATTCACAACGCGCCCAGTGCGCTATACACATCACCTCGTTTAATTGACGCAGCATGTGCCTTGGGGGGCAAACAGTGTTATCACACCATTCTACAGACGAGAAAGCTGAGGCTAAGTAAGTTGCCAAAGGTCGCAGAGCTAATAAAGGACACAGCGCCTTCAAACATGACTGACACCAGAGAACCGAGCTACGCTGGACATCACTGCACGGCAGGCGAACTACGGCTACAACAAGCTCACACTGTTTTTCAATACTTCTGGAATCTCAAATTTAATGTCAAAGAGATCAAAACAGAAGTCTACTTTCCAATATTCTGGATATCATACAGGAGTTTCAAAATCAGGGCTTGACAAATTTATGAACTGAAATGCGTCTTACACAACCTCCTCAGGAGGGCAATTTCGCAGTTCCTATGAAAGGCTTTTTAAACAAGTGTGGCTTTTGACTCAACAATTTCATTTCCAGGAATTAATCCTAAGGAAATCACCCATAATATGGGCAAAAAAGAAAATATAAAGATATTTTACTATAAAAAATAGCAAAAGTTGAGAAACATGCTAATTGTTTAGTAAGAGGAAGCTGGTTAAGAATGTCACAGCATATTCACAGGGCGGAATACTACGCAACCAACAAAAATTATGCTATACGCTGTCAAAAAAATACTCATCGACATAGCAAAAAGTTCATACTTTAGGGGCCGGCCCTGTGGCCGGATGGTTAAGTTCACGCACTCCACTTTGGCGCCCAGGGTTTCACTGGTTCAGATCCTGGGCGCGGACATGGCACCACTCATCGGGCCATGCTGGGGCAGTATCCCACATGCCACAACTAGAAGGACCCACAGCTAGAAGATACAACTATGTACCGGGGGGGCTTTGGAGAGAAAAAGGAAAAATAAAATCTTAAAAAAAAAGAAAAAGTTCATGCTTTAAAGTGAAAAAGATGAGGTATGAGAGTCTAATGTGATACCAATGCACAAAATGCAGTATATGGGATGCACCAAAAATCCAGCGGTCATCTCCACGCCTTACTCTCTTTTTCTAAGTCTGTGTATGTCCCACAGACCACACACTCACCTCGGTAACTTAAAAGAACACACTACCAATCCAACAAATTGCAGTAAGGGAAAATGTACATGTTATGCAAATCCAACACAAACCAGTAAAATAACAAAATAACTGACTTACCCTGATTATCTCAACGGTCCTTGGTCCCACGTCCATGCCTATAAATAAAGAAGCAACACAAGTAACTTTTTAAAATTAAGAGATAACATATTTAGGCTATAATATTGTCTCGTGAGAATGGGATCAGTTCCTAGGCCTTCGAGAGAGAACACTGGAGCCAGCAGGCACTGTGCCCCTTCTCCACAGCCACAGGTGCAGCCACCGAGCAGGGCTGTGCCCCCCCCCCCCCACCCCGGTCTGAGACACATGTGGCCATAACCCTTTGGCCTGACAAAAGCCGCTTGACCAGAGCGGTAGCGGCTGGGATGTGTGATTGGATGGCGCGGAGCGGGGGCATTAGCCATTCACTGCATATTTTTCCGATTTAATCAAGGATAACCTGCTACTTGAGGAAAGACTTGAAAAGACCCCTTGCCCCACCCCACCCCCAGTGGCACATGCACTTCTGACCTGTAACTTTTAAATTTTCTCTTTGTAAATGGTTTCACTTTAGATTTCTGCTCTTCTGTTTTTCACGCGATTTGTGTAAAGTTAAGGGCACATTTCACAGACGAAGCTCTGTGACTCCGTCTCCAGAACAGGCCTTTCAGGAAGCTGAGGCTTATGTGGCCAGGTTCAGTGATGTAAAAATATCTTTATTGAAGGGAAAGGGATTGTTTTTTAAAAATATTAATATTAAAAATAACTGGGTAGCAGGATGGTTTTGCTGGAGGTGTGTCCCAGTAATACCTGGATTCTGGGGGGAAGGGTCGGAAGCTCTTTTTGCGCCGACCAGGTTTTGCAGGCTGCTGACGACAGGAGGCAGGGGAGGGTGACAGCTGCTGTGTGTGCTGTGCTGACTGCCCTGAAACGAGAGCCGGGGTCAGCTGCAGCGAAGCACCGACACGCTCTTAAAATTCACCCTTATTATTAGTATTTTAATTACGGAAGTAACCACACCATATAAGAGAAAATTCTGGAGAGACTAAAAAAGAAACAAAAAATCCCCCAAACTCACTCTCACCGCCCTAACACAAGCCTAGAGCACGTTTTCTCTACTGTATGTGCTTTTATGTATGGTTTCAATCATCAAGGTGGAAAATATGCACTAACAAGCTTTTTTAACTCCACATGAAATCAAAACCATTTTCTAGGTTGTTACATGGTGTTTTTACATGATAGGTTAGTGCTACTATGTGCCATCTGGGGTTACAGTCAACATTCACTCCTTTATTACCCAAATGACATGATCTATTTGCCTAAAACAAGTATAATAAAAAATTGATCAAGGGAAACTTGACCAAATGGGACCCTCAGTTGTAAGAGAAAGCAGCAAATATCAAAACGATATGTTGTTTTAGGAATATGTTAAACTTTTTTTCTCAAAGATTTCCCTAGAGTCAATAATAAGTCAGCCCAATCTGCTATACCTCCATTCCTGTCCTTTCATTCATTTAAATAAATATTTGAGGTCTACAATGTATAGTCATGGATGGCTAGTGGCTACTCACTGCAAATTGCATACATGGTGAAGCGCCTTTCCAATGCAGAAAACAATTCACCAACAACGAATAAAGAATTTCTTCTACCAAATTATCAAGGTGACGCCTAATTGCCTCAAAATTTTAAGCTAAACTTAAATCACAATTATCGCCTGATAAATTATAATTTGATCCATTTCCTTAGTTCTATGATGCAAGTTGTTAGATATTTTAACGTTCTTTATGAAGATTGTCAAATATACAGAAAAGTTGAATTATACAGAAGACATCCATACACACATCACCTAGATTCTACAATTGATATTTTGCTATATTTCCTTCATTACATATATATTTCTCTACTCATCAATTTGTCTTTTTTAAAAAATTGATTTCAAAGTAAGCTATAGACATCAATACCCTTTATGATGGATATATAAATTTAAAGGAGTTTTTTTCATATGGTTTCTGAAAGGATATGATTTAAGTCAATGGTGCCATAACAGATAACTACTCAGAATTGAGGAAGTATAGCATATTACAGCTTTTGCTTAAAAAAAAAATCTCAGATCAATGTGTTTGCCAGGACTTTTATAAATATGGACTTCGCTGGGCAGCACTGCCTCAGTAGTCTGAGGAAAAGACTTCTCAGGAGTTATCTCCATTACACACTTCCCTCTGCAGGATGGAGACCTCTTTCCCAGATGGTGGGAAAAGACATTTTAAAAGAAGAGGCCTGGGGCCCCAAGGTAGAAGACCTCTCTTATGAACCCACTTTCTCTAGGCCGAGTCAACAAATTATAATTCTCCTTGGCCCTCAAAAGAAGGCATCCATCTCCCTATCTTAGAATTGCCCAGAAAGAAATCTGTGCCCTGCAGGGTCCTGACTGCTTGACACGGGTCTGGAGTGGAAAAGCCTGGGACTGGAGCCTGTTTTTCTCTGTCTGGGCCACGGGCTGGTCTTCAAGTCACGATGATGGAGGACACGTCGTTTTCACAGCCAGCTAGACGCCTTCTTCCAACTAGCCAACATCAGTGCAGATGCTCATATCATCTCAGCCATAATTTTAAGGATAAAGTATATTTATCGTTTTTCTTAAAATGGAATTAAACTTCTACCCTCTGAAATAAAAATTTTGTGCAAAGAAGGTTAGATAAAAGTATTTGATGCTTTGGCCCAGGTTGCCAAAATATGACAGCTCACATTTACATACCAGATAAACGGTAATGGCGGTTTTTTGGACACTTAATGATAGAGCTTGTAAATTTGTTAGCTCTGCATTTAACCTGAGTGTGAACTTTATTAATCACTATGATGCTCATGTACATTCCTTAAGGATGGAAATCCAGTTCTGCCTACCACCGCCCCTGTCAGTCCTCACTCTTCTGAAAACACTGGAGCTCCTTGCACCCCTTTGTGCCTCTGCATATGCTACTCCCTGTCTGGGATGCCTTCTTCCTCTTTTCAATCTATCAAACTCCTTCTGGAGTGAGATCCAATGGAACCTCCTCCGTGTAGCCTCTCCAGGAATAAACGTTCCCTCTCCGCATTGTTCACTGCATTCTAACCTCCCGTGTGCAACGACGCTTTAATGGAATCACCACAAGTGAACCTCCCGTTAAGGAAGAAGCTGAGATAACCATGCTGCATCTCAGGTTCCCACAGCTCTGGTCAGAAGCACCCTTGTTCCCTCCTGGACGCTCACAGCAGCCCTGCGGCTCAGTATCTGCTACCCCTTACAGACGCCAGAAACGGGAGAAAGTTGCAAACTTAATGTGATGTTTACTGAGTTTGACTGCTTTGAAGATTCTCTAAGACAAGCCAGCTTGTCTGTGATCCTATCTGAACAATGGTATTTTTCTTCACCCATTTTCTAACCCGACGAGGCAAAAGAGGCAGCTCACAGCATTCCAGAAACACTCGTGTGTCAATCACAACATCAGAACATCTTCTGAACGAAGGCCTCAGAGCGGCTTTACGTCTGAGGTGACCAGAGAGGGCACCAAAAGTCATGCTTTTAACCTCAAAACAAAGGCCTATCTACAACCCACAAAGGGGATTACGGGGTCACATGTAAATTTCTACCATTTCAGTATGTACCACATGGGACTAAAATATAGTCTACCATCTTAATTTTGTCAGACATTACAATGAAAAAAAAAACGCAGTGAAATCTACTTTGTTAAAAAAAGAAGTAGCACTTACATCAGCCTTGCAAATAAATATAAGATATTTGCTAACCCACGAATATCACCCATTAAGGCCGCCCTCCCACAGGAGAAGCCCTCACACTTCACTCTCCTAGGAATACACCAATACACCATTAATTGCCCTCAGCATGTGTGAGTGGCTATTCACAAGTTAACTTTATAGCCATATTTAATTGAATGAATAGAACAATGTTGTGCTAATGAGGGTCAAATTGCCACCAGATGTTGCTTCTTTCTGTTTTTTTAAGAATAAACACAGCTGTGTGCATGTATGCACAGGCAATATAGAACTAATACTGGGGGGAAAAGTGGTTCTAAGAAAACATTTGCAGGCAATAAAGGAGAGAAAAATCTAGAGATTAATGAATTTCCATCCCACCTTTCATTTTTATTTCAAACACATTAAAATACACTGAGCTTGGTGTTGTGAATATGCTGTATATTACACATTATTTCCAAGTAATCATTTAGGAAATGGGGAACTTTCTCCCAATGGGGACAGTTGAGTGAGTCAGTCTGATGGGAAGCCATCAACAACCTGACTGTTCTGCAACGTCTTCCTCAAGGAGGTCCAGGAGCCAGCGCGGAGTCTTCCAATCTCCAGCTGCACCAGCCCCTGCGCACACTTGGGAAGATAAGAAAAGAACAGAGGTGAAAAATGGCAGCATTTACGTTCTAAATTATTATGGCAGAGCCTCCACTCATCTCGGCAGCCAAGAACTGTAAACGGGTGATGAAGGCAACGGGCAAAGAGCAGATTCAGTAATCAAAACATCACACAAAATAACAAAAATTCATCAACTCAACAGTATTCATCTCATGACTTCATGACTTCTTTAAACATGTTAGAAGGATGAGATTTCAATTCACCTCTTTTCTCTTCCTTCCTGTCTGATGAAAGTGTTAATGAGCAGTAAAATAATTAAGAAGAAGTGGTGAAAAGGAGGACAGAAAAATCAAACATAGAGATAATCTGCAAATACAATCCTCTCTTGAGTGATAACTGATAATTGACTATATTAGGAAATCAGGATTTTAAAAATAAACAAAATCCATTTGTCTTTGCAAAAGCTTCCACAGCTATTTGCGAAACAGAATAAGATTCAATGGGTTATAGTTGAGTGGAAATTTACAAGAATTTTTATTAACTACTTTCTTCTAAGGGAGGTGGGGTCCACGTGGCAGGAATGTGACACTCGGAAGGGAATCCTGAACCTCAGCATCTCTACAACTTCGGTGGGAGGCAGGGTGGGTGGTAGGAAAACCTATAGAGGACAATTGTGGATCCCTGGAATTCTCACAAGCATGAAAAAAAAGCTTAGAAATCCCCAAACAGACTTCCCTTCAATCCCATTAGTGAAGATAACAGCTTTCTTTTAAAGCTATTCCTGATTGGTTAAAGTAATCAGAGATTAGATCTTTAGTAAAAACTAGAGCCAATGCAAAATCCAACCCATTTTATAATCAAGCTGGATTAGAACTGTTCCCGCTGGGCTTCAGTTATGCCAGCTGGGCACACAGCCGCCTAGGGACTCACCTTGAGGACAGTGGCCACTGTCTCCTGTGAGGCATTTCTCATGTCCTCCCCATTCACAGATAAGATCTGATCTCCCTGAATCAGTCTTCCATCCAGGTCTGCGGCTCCACCTTTCACGATGTCAGAAATAAACACTCCATTTCCACTTCTGTGAACATCATAAAGCAGAGGGTAATGGCGCAACCTGATAATTCTTTCTTAAATCTGAGATTACTGACATTATATATAGATTCGTTAAATCCTAAAACTTGGAAGAAGGGTCCTATAATGCCATCTAACCCAGAGATAACCCACTAACTTCCCAAATGATGAGCTCAGAGTGCTTGCCTTTTAAATAATTTTTGCCTATTTATGATGCCTATTGTAATATTCATTTTCATTGGCCCAAAGGCATAATTTCTGCAAGAAGATAATTTTAGTGAAATGAAATGGAAATTCACTTTGAAAAAAAGTAGAGCTAAGTACTCTTAAAATGTACAGGTATTTCCTTAGAGATCGGCTCAGCTATTACATCTGATCTATTTCTGGCCTCTTTCTCACTCTCCTTCTTCCTGCTTTTATGACTTTATGGTTTTAATCATATTTATTCATTTGATGAATAAATAAACGTATGTCTCAAAGTTCAGGAGGTTAAAAAGGGGGGACCTTGAAAAGTCTCCCTCTCACCCCTTCTCCCCAGGCCCAAGTCCCTCTCGGAGGCAGCCAAGGTCACCTGTTTCTTGGGTGTCTCAGTGTCTCCAAGAGATATTCTATGTGGACATAAGCAAGTGCATGTGCGTGTAGTACAAACGTGTGAGTATGCACACATACTTTTTTTTTCTTTAACTCTGCTTTTTCCACTCAACACTCCTTGGCAATTGGTCCTTCCTAGCACTGAGAGCGTCCTCATTGTTCTTTATGGCTGCATACTATTTTACAGACGTTCTTTATTTTCACTTATTGGTAAAATATTGACAGACACAGAGGTTATTTCCATTCTTTAACTATTGCAAACAATGTGCAACGAATAACATACTTACAAGCACATTGTTAGGATTCACTCCGAGTCGTGGAACTGCTCTTCAGAGAGCTGTGAATTTTGAGAGCTTATACCTCTGATCCCTTACAATGGAACTTTTGCGCTAAAGAAGGTAAACGTTCCTTACAAACTCAATCTGAAATACTGGCGTGGTATGAAGATTATCTCATTGATCCACGACAAGATAATAAAGTACCACCCATTTCTAAGTGGAATCTCCCCAGGCACGTGTATGTGTCACAACAAGCAGGCAAGCTTCAACATGGTTTCTGTTAGGTGCTCTGCACCCAGATGTGTGTTGAGTTTGTTTAGAAATATGAATCTCAGTTTTTTTGTTTTGTAATGTATTTTCAGATGGATGGTTTTATGGTGCTGAAGCAAAAAATGAGATCACGACAGCACAGTACTTGGCACAAAATCAGTGCTCAAAAATGGCAGCTAATATTTTTATTTTAATAACCGCTTGGACTGCTAGACAGAAGCATTAGGCTAGTCATGAGAGGCTGTTGAGGGCACATGACATAATATATACAAAACCAACTTCGATTCTTCCAAAGAAGATGTTTGACACCATTTAAGGTCACATTGGGATATCCCCTGAAAATCCCACAGCCCTGTTGGAAGCAGCTCACACTGGACATCTAAAGCCAGCAAACCCTGGAAGCTGGAGCTGCAGTGCCAAGACAGTACTTCCTTCTCTGATATTCTCATACGACTGCGAACAGTTACCGTGATTCCCACCACGTGTGTAAGCAGCATGGGCTTCAAAACAGCAGCCTAGCCACGACGAACAGCAGCCTAGCCACGACGACCTACCTAAGCTTTTGGTGCAAGCTATTATCTTGGGGTCAATAGTTTTCTTAATAGAAAACTACTGTCATGAAGAATTTATGTCTGTCTCTCAACCGTGTCTACTCAGCTAGTGTTAGTTAACACGGTATGAAATTAACAAGGTACCTCATGGTGGAGCAATTTTCTTAACCCAACATCGTCATATAATCCCTCTTGTTGTTAGCGGTTTCTCAGGTATGATCACTTTAACCCCTAGGAACCCCAGGTCTGAGCTTCAAGTTGAAAGAAGCTTGCTGACTCTCTTCTTACTCTATATGGGAATAAGTCTGGGCAGTCTGGGTTGATTTGGCTTAGAGTTCTATCTTTATATGACACTTGTTTGGCTAAGATCTTGCTCAGAAATATGACCTATGTCATTCAAATATTTATAAGTATGTTCGTTTTAGAAGTCATATCATCAGATCACACTAAGCTTTTTAGCAGCCTCAGTCCCCAGAACCCTGAAGGAAAACGCCATCGGTCCTGACTTGCGGGGCATTTCCTTACCGTTTCCCAACGATGCTCAGGCCTAGTCCTCGGCCAGCCTTCTTCTGCAGATGCACAGGGAAAATCTCCAAGTTCTGCTCATCCCTGTAGTGCGCCTCGTCTCTGTACACCACCAGCCGCACCTTCTGCGGGGTCTGCCTCAGGGCGGTGATGGCTTCCTCATGGCTGGCACTCCTCAGGTCAATCCCGTTAACCTGGAACAACGGGCATCTGAGACGGGCTGCTGACAGCAGAGGCCTCTGCCTGCTGGAGCTCCTTGCTCCAACCAGGGAAAAACGTCTAGAAAGTTCCACCCATTTCCAAAGCACACAGGTAGTGACACTAGCGGTTATGGTTGCTTCAAATCTAAAGAAGGTAACCCTTATATTACCCACAAGCATGGAGCGTGGGTTAGGACACACAACGATGCAATTTTACGTAGCCGTAAACTTTACCAGGGTATCAACACGAGAGCGAGCCGCCTAACTGGCTCATTTAACTGAGGTCAAAAGGGAAATAAGCGTCAGTGTTTGGTCAGCGTTTTTAGACTCAGTTTGCTTATTGAATCTGACATCCTCACTCCTAATTGCTAATATCATAACTACTTCAGAACAGGCCAGAAGGAAATGAGGGACCAGTACTTCCAACAGTGTCAAAGACTCGCTGAAGCCCACTCATTTGATCCTGATCTGAGTGAGCACAGATAGGACCATGCATTAGATGGCAAACTGTGCCAGGAACAGCACCGAGTAAGCCATGCCTCAGCTTTGGGCAAATCAGGCGAATGTGGGCAAGTCGTGTAACCTTGGAGAGCCTGTTTCCTTGTCTGTTCAATGGAGATCACATCCAACTTAGTTATTTTTTACCCAACAAATGCTTGTGCATTAACCTTTTATGAATATTTACTCCTTTGATCCTTATATTAACTCTCTGAAATAGGTACTATTACCATTTTACAGATAAGGAAACTAAGGCATGGCGAGCTTAAGTGATCAAGGATACACAGCTAGCAGGTGGAGGTGCCCTGACCTGAACCCAGACTGTCTTCCCACCCTTAGTCTCTATACCATGCTGTCTCATCTTACTCTTAGAATGGCTTATAGGAGCCCTTGCCACAGAGAAAGTCAAGTACTGATGCTGGCTAGTGAATCCAACACAGGGAGAAATTGAGTGGCACAGTAGCTTGGGACTCAAAGGAAGGGAGTCATGGGTCAGTCCTTCCAGGTCACAGCCAGGAAAAGAGCCAAACAAAGGGAAGGATGGGCCCCAGCCATGGCCTGTAGATGGCAGAATGGAAGAGGTCCCTCAAGACGTTGGTTCCACTCTGTGTTCTGGTCCATCCCTACATGTCTTGGGAGGTCAAGCCTATCTCCAGACCTCCACTCCCTCATCTGTGCAGTGAGGGGCTGATCTAGGGCTTTCCCACTTCTAACATTCCGAAGACTCAGGACTCGTGGCATATGGAACAGTTACAGAGAAGGGGGCAAAGAGGAATGAGCCCTTCTTGGAGAAGGTGACTTCTGAGCTACCATTTCAAGCTGATTCCGTGGGCCGAGAAAATGTCTACAAGCCTAATTTTCAAGCTGCTTTTTCTTTTCTGGATATCTTGGCGAATCTGTGTACTTGCTTAGATAACAGTGGGTATGCATGGGATAGAGATGGACTGCAGTGTGAGTGCTGATTCCACCTTACTGACCACGTGAAACCTTAGGTAAATTCCTCAAGTCAAGCTTCAACTGTGTCATCTATGAATTGGACATAATAACTGATTAATATTGGATAATAATAGTATCTGCTTAGTGTCATGAGGGTTAAGTGACATAAACCCTGACGTGCGTTGGCACAAGGTTTGACACAAGGCAAGCTTGAGGTGAGCGAAGAGTCGAGCTTTTACAGGGAACAGGAGCGGCTGCACCAGGGCTGTTTTGTCTCAGCACCAGATTCACTGTTGCTTTAGGCCCAGGAACGCATTCTCACTGTTGCTGAAGTAAACCCACAGAACAAAGGGGAAACTGTCTCTAGAAAACGTGGTCTGAGCTGATTATTTTCCTGTATTCCAATAGATGGCACACAAGACCACTTCTGTTAGTGGAAAAAAGTTACCTCCGGGGGTGGAATTCTCTAAGCCTGTAAAATATCTTGTGAAAGGCACTAAGAATTATACTTTTAACTAAGAGCATGGTCATTTTAAACTCTAACATTACAAAAACCACTTGAACTGAATTCCAGCATCAAGATGTCTGCTGGAATCTCACGATCTACTCTGCGTTCACAGTTCATTTCCTCCCCTGCTTATCAAGAGACACCACTAAGTGCACCGACAATCACAAGGAAATATCACCGTGTGGCTAGAATACCGCGGAGTGACTGATTGCCTTAAGAGCCGTCCAGAGGCACCATATGCATTATTTAGAACCTGAGTGCAGAGCAGTAGGGGTGGCAGGACAGGGCTCCCTGTTTGGGAAGAAGGGTCTAAGAAGCCCTGTTGTCAGCGGGGTGCATCATGCCCTTGGGTGGGACAGGCATGTGAGGAAGCGGAAGCAAGTGACCACCGCTTTCGAAGAAAGAGGAACCAGCCTGGGGCAGCAGCTCCTCACTGTTTTATCCCACAGGGAAAACCAGGCATTAGCCCTCTGCTCTTCTGCTCCCACTTGCACAAAAATCGAAGGAGAGAATGGGAGTAGGGGTAGGATAAAAAGAGGGACTGGTCCTAAAAGGAGAACCAGAAAGAGGACAGTCCATGCTAATCATAGAATCATGAATCTTGCCATGCTAAAAAATTTGATTCCCTCTTTGAAAGCAAGACCTGGCTTGTCCCAATTTAACATGAGGATAGCACTAAAACCACGGAAGGCCAGCTTGCACAACGGCGGGACTCGCCCGAGCAGGAAGTCTGCCGTCTGGAAGGCACCAATGCAGAGCTGCCGTGGTTCCCGGTCCCTGAGTGCACCACCAAAGCCGGCCTGTCATCTTCTCGAGGCGACCTGTAGGCACGGCTGATCACGCGTCATCACGCACCTATACTCGGCGACCACATTGGCACAGGTGCAAACACGGGGTCTCACACTGCTTAGAAAGGAAACACGTTACTCGACCACACTGGGAGCTCTGTTTCCCAGCTAAACACACGATCTGCCCTGTGGACTAGATCCTGTCTGGGGCAAGAGAAGAGCCTGTCTCGGCCATCTTGAATGAGAAGTGTGGACCATCCAGGCATATTGGGTAATAGAATTTGGCTAGATGCCAGGAAATGGTTTACTTGACCTTTGAAATTCTCCTTCCACTTACAACAAATCTGCTTTCTTCATGCTAACCTGTCCTGAGTGTTCGCTTGTACACGAATATGCTTTATGGAAGAGAACAGCTACAGCTCAGGGTCCATCCAATACAAATAAATAAATATACTTGAAAATTTTTTTATCGAGGAGTAACTGCTATAAAATAAACTATACATATTTAACTATGCATATGAAATTATACATAATTATGCTGTGAATTTATATGAACTTATATCTCTGTGCCCATTGCCACAGTCACGATAACACACCTACTAGTTTCAAGTGGCCATTATGGAATAATCTGTGGGGTTAGCAATCACGTCAGCATCAAGGCAAGTGCGCATCTGTGCTCTTCAGAATGTTCAGTCTGCTCATCTTACAAAGCCAACTGAGACAATGCCAGTTAATTAGAAAATCTAGGGAGGAAAAAAACCCCCAAACTCCTGACTGCTAAAACACGGTGCTGTTGCCACAGCAGTCCGGCCAGCTCCCAGAGAGGCCTCGCCTGCTTTTCCAGCCGCACATGCTCGTACCTTAATGACCGCACTGGGCATAGGTCCTAATCCAACGACGAAGCAGAGCCAGGCCTGCAGAGAAACCCTAGAACTCGCCCTCAATTTAATTTGCAGGGAGCCTGGCCTCTCCTTTAACTCCTTCTTGCCTATATTTTCTGGCCTGAATTATCTCTCTGATTTCATCTTGGGAGGCAGACTTGAACCACCGAAGGGAAAAGTCAAACGCTCTGATGTCATTCACAACGTGCTACATTAAAGCTGCAAGGCGAACGTGCCCGTGCCCCCCATGAAGCACCAACTGCTCATTAAGTTCCTCCAACGAGAGGAGTCAATGTGGACCAGAGGCGTCACACCATCGGGACAGCTCTTCAGTCCCACCTCCCAGGGCGCCTGGCACTGACTCTCCCTCCACCCTTCCCCAGTTCCGACACCGCCGGCCTTGGCACTTTTTAAAAGGCTGCAACGCCTTTGCTATATGAGACTCCATTTGAAACAGGCAGGTTAAGCATCTCAATTTTTAACAAGTACCATATACCACCTAAATGGAGAAGATTCACGTTTCCATCAACTAGAAAACAAGGGGCCGAGGCATGAGCCTGCGTCTGACATGACGACTCATTAGGAATAACAAGATAATACTGAGAGCTGCGATGAAGTCTTTAAACCACCAGGGTCCACAGGTCTGTGCTTTAGGAGGAACCTGAGTAAGGCATGATGGAGAGGCAAGACGATCAAACCACAATACTAGACAGTCTCATTTGATGTTAAGATTACAGAACTGTAAGTTGTACTTTTCTTTTTAATTAAAAAAAGTTTTCACAGACAGATTTAGATTGATAATCTGTCATGATTCTAATGACAGAGATTCAATATACATTAAAAAAAATAAGGTGCATGTTTTGTTAAGTGGGAGAGAAATAAGTGAGGCTGTAGTTGATAAGACAGAGAAGAGATAAATTGACTTCGCAGATCAAGATCAGTGAAGGAACCATATCTACTGGTATAACATAAAATCCACACATACATACCTCCAATATCTGGTCACCAGCCCAAAGTCTGCCATCTCTGGCTGCTGCTCCTTCTTCATAGACTTCGTGTATCACTATAGCATCCTAAAAAAACAAATTCTTATTAATTTTCAACAACCTCAAATGCTTCCTAAAGCAAACAACCAAATCACAGGCAGCAACCCATAATTTTTTTTTTTTTTTGAGGAAGATTAGCCCTGAGCTAACATCTGCTGCCAATCCTCCTCTTTCTGCTGAGGAGGACTGGCCCTGAGCTAACATCCGTGCCCATCTTCCTCTACTTTTTTATATGTGGGATGCCTGCCACAGCATGGCTTGCCAAGCAGTGCCATGTCTGCACCCGGGATCTGAACCGGCGAACCCTGGGCCACTGGAGTGGAACATGCGCACTTAACTGCTGTGCCACCGGGTCAGCCCATCAACCCATAATTTGATATTTGCTAATAATGTCATATTTCATTTGACCTAAAGATAAACAGAATCCAGTTATGATATATTCAGAGGTACAATTAATTTTTCCTAAGTTTATTATTTCACTCCTCTGGGACTGGCTTTACCTCATATTTCAAGTCACTTCCCCCATGTGTTTTCCTGTCAACCCTGTACATCGCTGCTGCGTGTGAACTTGAGGGAACTGTGCGTCATTCTTATTTACATTTTACGGTATATTCTGAAACATGGTTTCAGGTATTTATTGGTATTCAAGGATTTGGCATGGATGTGTGGCCTGAAGAAGGGGGTTTGTCAGGCCTCATTACTTGGTAATGAAAGAAAAGAACTTCGTGTAATGAACTGGCCCCGGGGGACAAAGTGTGGAGCAGGAGAAAGAGTGTTCGTGGTCCTCAGTGGAAGGCAGCTGTGTGTTTGAATCCTGACTCTGCCACTGTGTTCTCTTGGGCAAATTAACTCCTGAACTCAGCATTCTGAGCCATAAAACCAGGACAACATCTAAGGTAGGTAAGCTTTGGGTGAGGAAAATGTTTCATGGTTAATGAATTTAAAAATAATTTATATTTCTTCAAATTAATAACCTTATGTTTTTAATCATAAAAATAACATGACCAATGTGAAGGCCTGGGGCAATACCACTGGGCACAGTAGACACAGGAGACCGCCTCCCACCTGGGCCCTCAGTGACTCCCCCCGAGACACCCCCAAGACACCTTAGGTTCCCTCCAGACAATCTACACCTATAAACCCAAATTTTACACGTTTTGGTGATACTATTTTAAAAATATTCAACTGAGTTTGTTCACACAATTTTCCCCCTTTTCTCCTCAGGTTGGGCAAGTAGTCAAGCTTTGAAATTCCTTGCCGGGATTTTTGTGGAGCTGAAAACGGAAGCAACCAAAAGTCCTTGGTTCTTTCCGTTTTATGAAACCAGTTGAGTGGCCTGCCGTAGGCGTCCTGCAGGCTGCTGGGGGAGGAACAGAGCTTCTGAGTGGAGACTGGAAACAGAGATCTGTCGGTCCCGTCATGTGAGGACTGGAGCCCTGCCCTGCCCATTCCCCGGCCCCCAGCACGCACTCAGGCTGCAAGACCCTGCAGGCGATGGTCCAGGGCGTGGATTAGGCATGATCCCGCCTTGAAAGAAGTCCTGGGTCCCAAGAACCGGGGCCCAGAGGCGGCGGGACTTCTGGACTTGAAGAGACCATGTACGTAGGGGCTTGATGACGACCAGGGTGCACTGGTGACAATGACCACCGGGGCCTGCCAACGACTAGGAGCCTCGTGAAGAAACTGGAACCCCGAGAGTTAACGAGCCACTAGGATGACTGAGGTTGAATTCTGACTTAGTCCAGAAGTCTGGGGCCTCAGACTTAGAATTAAATTGACATTAAGTAAATAAAGAAAGAAAGAAAATATTTCTTGTGAAAATATAGCAAATAAGATAGGGAAAAACAAATCCAAACCAAACATAATTCCTTAAAAAAAAAGGTTCCCACGCAACTTCTGGATAGAAAAGCAACAAAAGAAAATTAGAATCTGTACCAGATGACCCACCTGGATTCCCATGTCTTTACAATACTAAATACTCTCATTTTAGCACCACGCAGTTCTGAAAACATTCTTTATTATAGCAATTAGAGAGGCAGCCCCCAAGAGCCGGGAAAGGTTCCTCGATCCAGACAATTTACGTTTCAGATTCTATACCAGCAATAGAGTTAGACCATTCTTTGTTTTAACTCTGACTTATGGAATTTCCAGACCCAGGGAGCATTCGCATTGCCAAGAGTTTGTTTCTCTGAACTGTTTCAGGGGAATGATTTTGAGGAAATTTGCAGGGTCAGTGGCTGGAGGCGATCCCAGCCACATGGCCAAGACGACACCAAGGGCCATTTTCACGAAGGAAGTGCAGGGAGAAACTAATGCCACCTCCTGATAACTCTCTGTGTAACAATGTTAGTTTGCAGAGTTTGGGGGCCAAACACCCCATCTTCACTGGATTGAGAGAATCAGACTGAGCTTGTACCACACATGGTTTTACAGAGCTCAATTTTCAGCATAAAATCTGTTGATCTTGGAACATTACAAAAGTCAAATGGGAAATTTCTCTCCGTTCATGCTCCAAAGGAAGAAAAAGCCCATGAAGTTTTTAGTCCATAAAAGTTGCCTGAGCCCAAAACTCTTGGCTACTTTCTGGGTGCTCAGTGAACGATCATACATAAAAGAAATATACTGTTAATAGACTCAAACAAATGCTGAACTCACTGCCAATGATCTGTTTTCAGTCTATAAGTCTTTCTGTGTGAAAAACTCCCCATTTATTTTTTCCTTTTGCTTGACTATTGCTATAATTTCTCTTAAAGTTATCAGTGGAAACAAAAGACAACATGAGACGCTCGGAATGGTCAAAGGCCGAATTTCTTACCACGTGCTGGAAGCATCCTGTGCAGCTGTCATTCTAGACAGCTGTATTAACCGGGGGGGGGCAGAGTGAGAGGCGGGGACTAATGGTTAAATTAGAAATGTGCACTGCTAAATTCAAAATAAAAATGGATTTGATTTATTTTTCAAAAGTTATGTAGTTCATAGGGTAGGACAGAACTGTAAAAAACATACTGCATTGGGATATGTTAAGCATCTATTTGATAAGGCTACATTAAAAATTCACTTCTTTCTTGCTTTGAAAAAATTGTGATTAAATGAAATAATGAGTCATTAATGAAAGAATGACTTCTATTATTTTAAATAAAAAATTTGGAGTTGATGATACACACGATTCTGATCCCCTCCTTGTGGATCCTCCTAAGTTAAAACGCTCTGGAGGTGTCCAAGCAAAACTGCCTCTCGGCACAGCCGAGGGCTTCCTCCCCACCAGCACCCTCCCCTCTCTGCGTATTTAAATAACATTCCTGCACCCCAGAATACCTCCGAGACTCTGTCTACTGACACCAACGACTTCCAAAGCTCGTCGACTCCAGAAGCAGGCTATTTATCATCTCCCTGTGGGTGGGTTGCTGGCTGACACTGAGGAGAGGCTGTGAAACAAATGGTCATGAGCTAGGCCTCTGGTGGCGGACTTCTCGTCCAAATCCCGGCCCTGCTACCTCTGGCCGGGGCCTTGGGAAGACGGCAACCTCTCCAGCCCTCAGCGTCCTCATTCTCATACGGCTTCAACACTACTAGCCACGCATGACGCTTCACGCACAGTGCCAGCACACAGAAGGAAGCAAGAACTGCTCATCTAGTCAACATCTATGTGCCAAGGATGCCACACACGCCCCTCTGAGCCATTTAATTCACAGAACAACCCAGCAAGTTCAGCATTATTAGTCTTGTTTACAGCTGGGGAAACAGTGGCTCCGAAGGGTTCAGACTTGACCAGGTCTTTGCGGCTTCTAAGTAGGAGAGAAGCAATTCCACCTTGGACAGTTTAACACCAGAGCCTGTGCTCCTGTTGCTCAGCAAGCTCCTTGTCAGTGTGAATATTTCATCTTGTACTTGTACAAAAGCTAATGGGATCTTCCATATGGCATTAATTCTCTTGAAAGAGTGTCTCCTCAACTCCACAGCAAAATCCTTGAGGACATGAGCTGATCATTTTATAGAGGGTAAACAAGCAGATGCCTTGTGGAAGTGGACACTGAGGCCCCTGGTGAGCAAGGTGGGGTGAGGCTCTGTGGATCCCTTCACTAGTGTCAGCACCTGATCAGGCCCTTGCACGCCACACAGCAGGACGGGTTGGCCCTCTCCCTACCCAACACGGTCTCTCTCTTAATTCTATCGGCTATTCTTGTCTCTTTCTGTCTTCCTTCCTTTCATCTTTTCAGTCCTGTTTCTGTCCACCCATGTTATTCATTGAGTGATGTTTTTCTACAGGAGCAAATATAAAACATTACAATAGATACAAGCAATACACTGATATTTAAAATAAAAAGTTGTTCAGTCCAAGAAAACAGATTTCTCCTAATTAATGGTATAGAATTGAGAATTGTTTATAGATGATCAAGACTGACATATAATCAGGGGCCAGCCCCGTGGCTGAGAGGTTAAGTTCACATGCTCTGCTTCAGTGGCCCAGGGTTTCACCAATTCAGATCCCAGGCGTGGACATGGCATCGCTCATCAGGCCACACGGAGGCAGCGTCCCACATGGCACAACCAGAAGGACCCACAACTAGAATATACAACTACTTACTGGGGGGCTTTGGGGAGAAGAAGAAGAAGGAAAAAAGAGAACATTGACAACAGATGCTAGCTCAGGGCCACCCTTTAAAAAAAAAAAAAGATTGACATACAATCAAAACTGATTTCCTAATGGCAGTTGTGTGATTTCACTGCAACAACAGAAATTTAAGTCAGATGTGCTGTTTACTGACCGCCGAGACAAGACCGACAGTTTCCCTCCGGACACTCTAAGTTACGCATTCGACTTGCCAGCTCTCGAGCCGGGGAAGAACTTGATAGCGAGGTGGACAATCTCTCAGACAGTGGGTTTTCCCTAACGAGAAGGGTCAGGCAGGATTTCAGAGATGCAGGAAAAGTCCCCTGCTGGAAAGCTTCTCCCTCACCAGCCTATGTCTGAAACACGTTTCACTGAGGACAATGCCCTTATTCCACAACTAGGCATAATGTTAAAA